AAAAGATTTGATTAGAATTGAAAGATTGAGACTTGCAATCCAATAACGACGTATCACTGAAAGATCCAAGAAAATGATTAATCGGTTCTGAGAAGGAAGCGTACCACGAGAATTAGATTTGATAAATTTACAGAGAAATTTGAGTTTCGATTTGAGTGATAGTATTTGGTTTGAAAAGATTAATCTTGATTTATTTTGATTTGGAATTGATTGATTTAAGTTGGAAAAGTTTGTTTTGGAATTGATTTTAGTTTTGAGTTGAAAATGTTTGTATGGAGTTGATTTTTGTTAAAATTGAAAAAGGTTTGTTTTGGGTTGACCTGTATTTAAATAGAGTTTGATTTGAGTGATTCACTAGAGCTTAAAAACTTTAGTTGGTTGGGTTGATTTTAAGTTGGTTACTTCAAGTTAAGAAGGGTTGTTTAATTTTGGTTGAAGGTGTTTGACTTTGTTTGATTTTTCGTGTTTTTTGTTTATATTTGTTTGTTTGTGTGAAAGTATTTGAGGTTATTTTAATATTATTTGAAGTTTATTTTAAGTTTGACGTTTATTTTAGTTTGTTTAAAAGTTGTTTAAAGTTTGTTTAAAATCATTCGGAGTTTATTTGAGGTTTATTTGAAATTATTTGGTTTGTTATGGTTTTTTTAGTGTTTTGAAACTTCGGAGAAAAGGGAAGTTAGAAAAGTTTGAAGTTTAAAAGTTAAGGTTTTAAAGTTTGAAGTAGTTTTGGTATTTGAAATGATTGGTTTTGAAGTTGGTTTTAAATTTTGGAGTTTGAAATGTTTAGGAGTTTGAAGTTTGTTTTGAAAAGTGTGAATTGATTGGTTTTAGGTTAGTAAAGTTTGTTTTGGATTGAACAATTTGATTGAGTTGGTTGATTGATTGAAAATGTTAATTAGTTTAGGTTTGAAAAGGGTTGATTTGAAGTAAAAAGTTTGGTTGAAGATGTTTGAATGAGGGTTAAGTTGAAATTGAAAGTTTGGTTGAAAATTTTTGAATAATGGTTGAGTTCGAAGTTGAAAGTTTGGTTGAAAAAATTTGAATAAGGGTTACGTTGAAGTTGAAAGTTTGGTTGAAAATGTTTGAATAAGGGTTGAGTTAAAGTTGAAATTTAGACTAAGGGATAGAATATGTTGAAAAGATTTCTAGATAGAAGGTGAAACCTTAAACCTAAAATAAATATATACTTTATAAGAAAGCTAAGTAGGCGGGCTAACATAATTTTTGGATATAACACCCACGCTTAAGATGCCTTTGACTTCTTATTGTCCTGGGGGTATTAGCATCCTTGAGTTTTCACTGTTCCCATAACGATGATGGACGTAAACCCTCTTATTATTATGTGATTAAAAGTGCTTTTGTTATAAACCATGAGTTACTTCATCCTAAAACACCTACATAGTCTTATAGGGTAATAGTATTTGTTTTATATGTCATAGCCTTTAGCACTAGCTTGGGTACCTAGTAATCTAACCGAGAGTTCAAGACTGGACTATTCTAGGGTATGTGTGATTCTGGGTTTTATTTCCAAGTTAGCGAAGATAAAATTCACATTTGATCTGCCTAATGTTGATTTTCATGATTTAACTTGGTGAATTTTAGACTTACTTTGGGTTTGATATTTAATTCATGATTTGGTTGATCCCTAGTTTGTCGGGTGTTGTGAAAATTAGACTATTTCTATGTTTGAAAAGTTTTGCATTTGGTTTTCCATTCTAAGTTGGTGTTTTGCATTGGTTCTCCTTTTAAGTTTGATTTCTAGTATTTGGTTTACCTTTTCATGTTGAAGCTTATATGCTAGAAAAAAAATTATTCAGGCCTTTCATGCTTATACTTTTCATACTTAAGTTACATTTACATACTTTTAAAATTTTCACAATTATGAATTGGTAATTTTGTAAAATATTTATGTTACACACAAAGACGTACACATATAATATGAGAAATGTGTAGGCATGAAATTGCTTAAGACTTTTATGTTTAACATTTAGCTTATAAATCACATATTCCTATAAGGGAACATGTTCATTCATGGTCCAAACCTATAAATATGTGTACGTCTTGTATAAGTTGACTATTCAGAAGATATTAGCAAATTCATATAATTTTAGTATATGAGAATTTATACAATTGATAAGTTCACAAGATGGTTCTGTCTTAATCGTGTTTAAGCTTGTTTTTGTTTTGAAAAAAAATTGTTCTGGTTTCTTAAAAAATTTTAATTTGGTTATTTAGGTTTTGAGAAGATTTCCTTAAGTTCCAGTTTAAAAGATTTAAGGTTTTTTTTTTTAAATTTTATTAAAAAAAGTTTTATAATGTCAAGAGTTTTACATTTGTTTTGTCTTGAGAATTTTTTATTTTTATTTAGTTTAAGGAGTATCACATTTAGGTTTTACTTTAAAAAGATGTGAATTTGAGTTTTAGTTCAATTTGAGTTTTGAGGAAGTTTAAGTTTTGTTTTAAAAGGTTTTATTTGAGTTTTGTTTTAAAAAAAAGATTTTGTTTTGTTTTTGAAAAAGAATGTTTTGTTTTGATTTGATTTTTGTTTTTGAAAAAGCTTTTTATTGAGTTTTTGTTCTGAATGATTTATTTTTTAAATGGATTTTATTTTAGTTTTGTTTAGAAAAAAATATATTTAGGTAAGATATTATGATTACATTTCAGAATAATCTTTTAGTTTTGAATACATCTCTATTTTGAAAAGATTATATTCTCTTAAATAGGGTTTTGTTAAATTTTAGAGAATTTTGTTGTTAATTTTTATTTATATTTTGTGAGAATTTTATTTCATCTTTAAAGATTCAAGTTTAAAATAATCCAAACTTTGAGAAAATAAGCTTATGAAGATATTATAAAGTAGAGCACATATAAATTTATTTTCTTCTCCTCTCTTTGAGAGTTCATTCAAATTACATAAGCTTTATAAAAATAGTTAATTTGGAGTTTTTTTAAATTTATATGTTCTTACAAAATAAGCTCATTTAGAACACCTTTTGGATTTATATAGCTTTTCATAAAAATAGTTCATTTGGAGCACCTTTGGGTTTATATTATTTTTCATAAAAATAGTTCATTTGGAACACCTTTGAGTTTATATTATTTTTCATAAAAATAGTTTATTTAGAGCATTTTTGTTTGTATTTTTATAAATTGAGTCCCTTTAACACACTTTTGAATATATATATATATATATAT